CCCGCGGACCGCTCATTCGTGCGCCTATCGCGCCCCGCGCCTTCCTCGCCGAACGCCAGCGCGTCCCAATCGACCTCCGACCCCATCCGCATGTCGCCCGACCATGCGGCTCCACCGTCGGTCGTGCACCCCCGTTCATCATCTTGCTCCATCCAACCGCGCGCATCATGGGCTGATGCGCGCTATCCGCCCATTAGCCGATCGCCGCCCTCATCGACGCCGACTGTCTCCGATCGTTCGCCCGATGGCCACGGGTCCCACCCATCCAACCTAGCACAATCTCCTGCACGCCATTCCCATCCATCTTCCATCATTTTCTTACCTCGCCTTCTAGCCTCCGATCGCCAAGCCCGTCTCTTCCTCGTACAAGGCTTGCACCAACAGTAGGCTTCCTTAGCCTTTGCCTTGCGTCTCCTTCGGACTCGTTTTGTCCTGTGCTTCTTAGGCTTAAGCTTAGCCCGTGGACCACACCCTTTCGGCCAGTCCCTCTTGCATGATGGTCGATAAATCGGACTTCATGGCTCCTCCAACATGTTTTCCAACCAGATATCGAGACCATCGTCCTCCTCGTCGTCCGACTCACCGGGGTTGATGACCACTTCCGTATCATTCCCCTCCTCTTCAAGTCTTTCCTTGTCCTCAAGGATTAGAAAATTAAGCATACCATCATCATCACCGTTCTGGACTTCACCCTCTCTTGCTCCTCGACCTTCCATGAGTTGTCGCTCGTACTCTTCTCGGTTTCTTCGTTCATGGAGCTCGTCTAGATATGTGCTCTCCCATGGGGTAAGTTCTCTCTCCAAACTCTCCAATAGTTCGAGATCTTCCCAATCCATCTCGTCCATTGGCTCATAAGAGATGATAAATTTTTTTTTTTTTAAGACTCTAAAAATCGAAAAATAAATGAAAAATTCGAACAAGAGTTTCGAAAATTTCGACCCAAAAAGAAGAGAAATTCGGCCCCTTAACAAAAGGTAATAACCGAAAAAAATCAAACAAAGGACTAGATGACACTTTTTTTTTTATACTATCGAATTTTCGAAAATTTGGGAACAAAAATTCGAAAAATCGAACAAAAGGAAATCAAAAAATCGGACCCAAAAGAAAAAGAATGAGATAGAAAAAGTTCACGAACACCCAATCGATCACTCTCAATGAAAGCACCAATGAT